CCTGGATTACTGAGATGCATCAGGACAACATGATTAGTTGTTGTTACCTGTTACATCCCTTGCCAAGCTAAACCCAGTCGTCTTTCTTTTCTGTGCAGAAGTCATGCTGGCTGCTTTCCACATATTTAAAATAAATCTTCATTACCACAGAACAAGGTCAGGGAGGAGAAAGACCAGATATGGATGCAGTAGTCTACAAATGTGTGAACACAATGTGCAGTAGTCTACACAGTGTGCAGTAGGTATGGGTCATACAATTTTTCTTTATTTTGCTTAGTTTTGCACATCTTTGCGGTCACATTTACTAAAATGTTGTTGTGTTTAATGTTGTGTCACTTTCTATGTTTATGCCATTCTTTGTCTTATGAACCTACATCGAGCTAAGTAATACTTTGCTAACATGGAGGAATTTATATTTATAACAACTTGAGTGCTCAGAAACCACCTGACCATGTGATCGGCTGTAGGAGATAATGGGCAAGACTCTGGATTTCCCATTACTGTACATGTTGACAACAGAGCAGAAAAAAAGGACTGACCATGTAGAAATCATTAAAACTATTAATAATAATATTAATCCAATTATTATTAATATTTTACAGTTTATACAATCTATCTAATGTTTTAAATAATGTCAGCAAAGCTGTTTGTGTTCTGGATTTATTAACAGAAGATAAACAGGAAAACGTCTCATTTTACAACACGAGTCAGCAGATTTGATCTTATTTAGCTCAATGTGATCTGAGCAGAACATAATGTAACAGTTTAAAATTAAAATAATCTTATAAAGTCCATGTAATCACTGTTATATATTGAACTGGTTAGCAGATATTAGCTTGTGGAGCATAAATACAGAGTTTAGCACTGTTGAATCATGCTACAATTTAACAAACTATTAAATGTTACTTTGTCCTCTGATTAATATTTAGACCTTAAGCAAAAACAAGGTTACAATGGGCTAAGGAGAGGAAATTATGGACTGTGGACGACTGGATGAAAGTTATCTTCAGTGATGAGTCAAGAATCTGCATTGGACAAGGTGATGATGCTGGAGCTTTTGTTTGGTTCTGTTCCAGTGAGATTTATGAAGAGGACTGCCTGAAGAAAACAACCAAATTTCCACAGTCCTTGGTGATATGGGGCTGCATGTCAGGCAAAGGCACTGGGGAGATGACTGTGGTTAATTCTTCTATCAATGCACAAGTTTACGTTGATACAGTATTTTGGACAGTTTTCTTATCCCTTCAATTGAACAGATGTTTGGAGGTGATGAAATCATTTTTCAAGATGACAATGCATCGTGCCATAGGGCAAAAACTGTGAAAACGTTCCTTGAAAAAAGACACAAAAGGTCAAAGTCAAGGCCTGCAAAAGTCCAGATCTCAACCCAATTGAAAATCTTTGGTGGAAGTTGAAGAAAATGGTTCATGACAAAGCTCCAACCTGCAAAGCTGATCTGGCAACAGACTGGATGAGTTCAGACCAGTCTGAAAGAAAGGTGCACCACATTAAGGAGTCAGATGTGGAATTAGCTGGAAGAGGATGTTTAAAATGATGTTCAAGAAAAAGATAAAAGTGGGGCTTTTGAAGAAATTTGAAACAGTATAATATGTATTCATGTAAGTTTTTGTTCTAGATGGATTTGGCTTTTGTGTTTTGTTTTATGTAAATTGAAGATTAGTATTGTTTGAGTTTCTACTACAATAAAAGGGGCAGATATCAAGATTTTTTCTTATCTATGCTTCATTTCATTTCATTGTATTTGTTTTTCCCCTCTGTTTCTATATTTGTACATAAAATATATTTGTTTTAAAAAATGAATAAAGATTTAAATAAAAAATAAATGATTCCATCATTTTTTTCCTCAAAATTGAATGATTCCATATATTTTCCCCTCTGCTTGGACAAAAAAAGCAACTGTTACTGACTACCTTATTTTTTTCTTGATTTCTTTTAGTGTTTCTTAGAAAGTTGCCATTTGAAATAAATTTAGTTTTGTGTCATGTCTGTGATCTGCCATTTTTCTACAAAATTAAACAACTGAATGAACATCCTCTGAGGCCAGTGATTCCATCATTTTTGCCAGGGGTTGTAGAACCAATCTGCTACAAATTCTACACCACCTGTAACAACTTCAGCATAAAAATGTAATAAAGGGAGTGGCGAGTTCTTAAATGCACAAATGTAGTTTATCCGTAGTGAACTCATAAGACGTTTAAACTGATAGGAACTATTTTTCAGTCCTAAGTTCTTAAACATCGTGCTGAGATATGGTCATGGGTGCACTGGTTTCTCTACTCTCTTTAACCGTCTCCATTGCTGGGTTTCTGTTTGAAATGCAGGTGGAGCTCAGCTCGCGACCGTTAATGAAGATGATGTAATTCCAAATCTATCCTAGATGTGAGCGACGACTGCGATTGGTTCCCCATGAGGAACACAGTGGCCAATTACATTTCAAGAAAGAAAAACAGCAACAGCTGATTACAAAGCTGCTGAACCAAAAGTAACAAGTAACTAAAAACTTTGTAGAAATGTAGTGGAGTGAAAGTCACAAGTATTCCAAAAAATAACTACTCGAGTAAAGATACTCAAAAAATATACTTAAGTACAGTACTCAAGTAAATGCACTCCACTACTGTTCACCACTGGCTTCATTATGTAGTTTTAAGGCTGCAGCAGGAGCTCATTATGTCACAATAATAGTCAGTTAGGACCCAGAACTAGATGTGGCACTGACGCCTCATTATGAGGGTCCTGGGTTCAATTGTAGGTTCGGACCTGGGGTCTTTCTGTGTGGAGTTTGCATGTTCTCCTCGTGCTTGCGTGGGTTTTCTCCGGGTACTCCAGTTTCCCCCACAGCACAAAAACATGTACATTTTACCTTCAGGCCCAGGCCTCCCTTGAAAAAGAGATCTGAGATCTCAATGGATTTGCCTGGTTAAATAATGGTAAATAAAAGAAAATTGATTTATTAACAAACAAGCAAAACCAAAATGCTGTTGTTTCAGCAAACAAGTAGACTTACAGAAAACTCTTTTCAGATTGAGAACAGGCACAAACTTACTTGAATTGTTTACACAGAAGAAAGGTCTAATGCCAGACTGCTTAACAGGAGCAAAACCAAAGCATAGAAAATGTCCAAACATATTCAACGAATGTGAACACCTGCGCACAAACACTGTCAGGCAGGCAAGATTCAACTGAACAGACATATTAATCAGAAACACAACAGAACCAAATACTAAATAAATAACTAAACAAAGACACACATCTTCAAAAATCAGACAAAAAAATCTTTGTCTTTAAGGTGTTTGTCCAGCTTTGTTTTATTTTAAAATTTAATAAACCCCGAATTAAACACTTCACTGCGTGTGATCAGCAAGGTCTTGATTTTAGCTTTACATTTTTGTTTTAAAATAACCAAATTGCAATCTGCAAATATGGCTTCTAATTTATTCCAAAACACCTGACATGACTCTGGTGTTATTGAACTCTGTGAATCGGGTAAAGAAAGTCTATAAAACCATCCTGATGTTATTCACCCAGCTTTCCTCTAGAGGGCTGCAGAAAGTCACTGAATGTGCACGCCTGGACCTCATCGGAGACTCAGAAAATGATGCATGCAAATCTAAAAGTGTAAGGCTTATTGGCTTAATGTTAAACAAACACAATGACGCTCATCCTGAAGAGATGACAGCACTCAGAACTGGCTGAACAGCCGGTCCGTAGTTGATGTTTCCTTAACAAACCTGAGAAAACCAATAAATTGATTATACACGCCCAAAAAGTACTGGATGATATCTAAAATTAAAAATAAATAAATAAATGCCACCCACGTTGTCATCTCGCTGAACTTACGGGGAAACCGTCTAACTTGAGTCCACGGTTCAGGACTCCCAGACACCATCCATCCATACTGCTGGTTGTCTGTCAGTGGTGTTGTGTACAGCTGGTTAGGAGCTGAGAAAGATAAGAGTGCTTCTTTACTCTTCTGTTACAGCAGATCAAATATATTAAGATCCAGTCTCACGTTTAATTGCTCGAGTCTTTTTGACCATTTCTTTGTATTTGTCCAGGCTCCCCTCATGAATGTCGGAGCTGAAAGTACCAGGTTGGAGGTCAGCTTTGGATGTGTCTGTAGGCCCCTGTGGCTCCTGAAGCATTGGGGGAGTGCCTTCTCTGAAGTTATCACTGCTGTCTGTGCCAATATCTGACACAGAATGGAAAATAGATTACTGGCAGTCCTCAAGCTCAAAAATACTGATTATTTATTAGGTAACCTCACATTTTAGTGTACTTTAACTCAGAGCAAGGTTCCTCTAAGCTAGCTAACCTAATGAATGAGCTACCTCTCAACTAGTTATTATTATTATTATTATTATTATTATTATTATTATTATTAACATACTTTGTCATATACATCTTCCACAAATCACTAAGTCAGAAGTTAAAAGTGTTAGCCCTTACACAGTCAGCTTCCTGGTGGCTAAGCTAAGGTTAGCCTACCATGCTAACTCTCCTTACCTTGAGGCAGAGACACTGCCCGCGGTTTTATTATCATTTTATCGCCTATCGGGTTTTCATAGCCCAGGTGTGTCAAGCCGAAAAACGCCATTAGAGTGTCACACTTTGTTCATCTAGTCGAAAAACTCCTCCAACTCATGGACCAGTGCACAAATAACACAACTTCGTTTGGTTTACTTGTTACCGCGGTAACACGCTCCGCCCTCGTGTTGCTGAAAAGGGGGTGGAGCTTATTGTTCATCTTTTTTCTTTCTTTGCTGAAGAAAACGGACTGCTGCCCTTCACCTCTTTAAAGTAAAATGGTATGTGTTTCATTTGTTGTGCCGCCCAAACCTACCAGGTTGTAACTGAAACTACCAATATCCTTATTTTGTTTTCTATTCATACACTGAGCACCAGTTAGTCTTGACTGCATCAAATGACACTTTTATCACCAAACACCTTCTGCACCATATAACCCCATAGTAACAAAGCAGGCTGAGAAACCCACAGAACAAGTTCATAAACCTGAGTAACCAGAGTTTATTCTACAGACAAAATCAATTTTACTCAGATAAAAGGTTGTAAAATGTATTTTTTTTTCATTCCCCATTTGTGGCGCCCCTAAATGGACGGCGCTCTTAGCATTTGCCTGTACTGCATTATACAATATGTCACAGGTCAGCCCTGAGTCTGTCATTTGTTCACCATCACCTTTCCACCCCCAGTGGAACCTGGCCTCTACTGTCATCACTTCAGAAGTCAAACAGTTTGGAGTTTCTACAGAATTGCTGGAGGAGTCAGGTCTCCATTTAATATAATATTGAAGTCATTGTTGGTTTATTTATCAGGAGTCAGTTGGTCCGCACTCTTGTTTGTTCCCTCCAGGGTACAGGCACTTCCAGTTTCCCCCTGTGGACGCAGTTTGAGCTTTTTCTGTGGACTTCCAGTTTTCTGCAGGCTAAGTTTTGTTTTCTGTTTGTCACAGGATCTACTTGCATGCTGATCAACATACAAGTGTGCACAATTCTGCATTTTTAACAACAATTCCTAAATTTAAAACATCTTCTGATATTCAGTCTAACTCGCAAAGAAGAAACACTGAGTAAGCAAGGTACAAAACCATATCTACCTTTTTCTGGGTCTCAGAAGTGTTTTGTTCTGACATTTTAAACTTTAAAAACTATATATA